TATCAGCTCCACCCTGGTCCGCCATGGGCTGCAGGGGAATCTCTACTCGGGTTCCTGGAGCACCTCCTCCCCCTCCTTCCTCACTGGCCTTGGTGTCTGCAGAGTTGTTCCTCTCACATATTCTCACTCCTCCCTCACAGCTGTTGAGCAGTGGCTTTTACCCTTTCTATCACAGAGGTGCTACCAACATCACTTGACGGGCTCAGCTTTGGCCAGTGGTGGATCTGTCTCGGAGCCAGCTGGAACTAGCTCTGTCTGACATGGGAGACATGTCTTCTCACAGAGGCCACCTGCTACCAAAACCTTGCCAAACTGTCTTTACCTCAACTCACAAGGTTGTTTCTTTTTTCCATTCTCCTCCCCATCCCGCTGCGGGGTGAGGGGTGAGTGAGCAGCTTAACTACTGGCTGGGGTTAAACCATGACAGTGTGACATGGAAACAATCTCAGTGCGATTACATTTATTGCGTTTCTCTTAAAAGGCCTATTCTGCCAATATTGCAGCCACCTTATTTCCAGTTTTAGTTTCCAGGCATTAATACTTTGGGCAAAACTCTCAATATGCAGGATATTAATGATTTCCTATAAACATACAGCTAATTTAGCAAGTCAGTAGAAAAAAAAGAGAAGCTATGATATCCAAAAGACACCCGTACACCTTGTCAAAGACTCTCAAATTTTAAAGTCAATGGGAGCAGGAAAGGGTGCGTATGTGCAATGGGAGAATTGTAAGAGTAATGTTCTGATGGAAGAGGCATACCTTTTCAAGTTTCTATAAATTTAAAGATTTATAGGAAAAAACTTCCTGTTCTGCATACAGCTATTGCATCAGGATGTGTATTGCAACACCTTGAGAAATTCAGGGCAGAGGAAGGACTCTGACTGAGAAGCAGAAGTTTTGTGGTCTGCAGGAATGATGCTCTTTCCTGGCCTGAACAAAGTTTTTGCATCCGAACCTCCTCTCCTGCACACTGATAGCAACCTAAAACATTATAAAATTGAAGAACAGCTCCTGTTCTACCATATGTTATTGCAAAACTTGAAGGAGGTATATCCTTAATATAATTTTTAGTTTCCTCACTATTTTTGGAGATCGAAGTCCAGTATAGGGAGCCACTGAACACACCATTTTGTCTGATAGTGCTTTCAGTTGAGACCACACACATGTATGCACCCACATATATAAAAAAAGCTGTCTGAAGATTACTATACTTACAAGAAGCCTTCATTACAAATGTATTTAAGGCATAAATATACATATATATTTTCTCAGGTTTATAACCTTAAGAATAGGTATGGATAGCTATTCTACTAGAAATAAAGACCAATGCAGGTTTCTCTAAGACTATGGTGCTATGGCAGTGTGAAGCTGATCCTGGAATTACTTTTCTTCTAAACGATTCCCATTTTATAGGCTGCCAACATGTAGGAGGCAGATCAAATACTGCAGCCACTTTTCAAACAAGCATTTTTTAACTGCCTCCAGTGTTTTGTGTTTGGAAGAAGCTCCTTGTAAAAAATAATAAAAATATGTCATATCTTCCTCCAGATTCTTCTTTAAACTCTCCCTCACTATGAATTGGGCAAAAACCAGAGCAGGACATTTACGTTTTGCAATCTCTGCCTATTGTGCTGATTATGCAGATCTCCTCCTTTCTAGCGTTCTCCTATCTCTTGCATTTAAACTTATACTAAATTACGTGCAGAAGGAGCAATTGTTTTGCCTAGGTTTCTGCATGCTCTAGTCCAGCGGCTCCTGGCCTGTGATCGAGGCATGCACATAATAGCAATAAATGAGCCAGACACCAGTACTTTAATTTGTTGTTGAAATTACTTGAAAGGTGTATTTCTGATTGGTTTAAACCACAGGTTTGTCACTCAGTTTATAAAGTAGTAATGACAGTAGTGTTTAGTCACTCAAAGGATGTTTGTTTCAGCCCAGGTGACCTCTTCCTTCTTAAAATGGATTCTACAAGGATATACTTATATTAGACATGAAAACCTCAAGAGTTTTGTTCTGTCGTTCCAATTTTGATACTTCTCTTTTCTGTAATTGCAACAGCTGGTCTCAAACTGAAGGAGTACGCTATGCAGCAGTAATAATAATGGCTGCAAGAAAAACTTGACTCTTATTTTCTGTAATCACTGTAATCTCTCTGACAGATGCAGGACTAATACCTGGTTCAGAAGGGAGATTAAACAAAAAAAATCAACTCCAACTCTCCCACTCATCTTTTATCTGAGATGCAGACTTCTGCTGTGTATTTCACTGTTATTTCTTAGGCAGATCTCCCCTTGTTACCAACAAACCTTTTCTTTTCCTGTAGAATTGCAAGAAACTACTGACAGCTTTCTGAAAACTGTATTGAGATACTGCATTGGGCATATTTATAACTTTCCTTGTGAGAGGTTGTGAGAGATTTTGATTATCACTTGAGACAAAATACTTTTGGAAATTGATTTATTTTTTAACATTTATCGATATATTTCTTACATATATGTATTTATATACATATACACATATATATATATTTTTTTTTTACTCTGTACCAAGAGACCTAGATCATGACATCTTTGCCAGCGATCCCAGAAGTGAGAGCAGATTCTGGCATCTGTGACCTCTCTGAGAGTAAGCATATATCCATATTTACATCTATAGCTACATGTACATGTGTGTACATATGTAGTCTGTCACCAATGAGACTGCAATGAATACACTCTGCTCTTTTACCCTAAAACCTCCCAGGTTTCATCCTGATGAATAGAACTAAGGTTCTGTGTCCCTCACAGACTTTTTTAACATTTTCCTCCCTGCTAAAAGGGACAGATTGGTGTAAATGAATTCTACCTCCTCAGCATAACGCATAGTTTAGTGCTACTTAAGTTCTCTCATGCTACATAGTCTGGACAGTTGCAAAGAGTGTTGCAAATAACCTTTATTTGTGCCCTTAAAGGCAGGGACATTCATTGAAAACTGTTAATTCCTGTAAGGGACAATTATGGTAATAATGGTGAAAATCTTGTGTCTCCTTGCATTTCCTTTTCCAGATTACACAGGGAGGTGCTTTTCCAATTCATCAAATAAATGTGGTATCAATCATATTAGGACACGATGGTTTTAATAAAGTTGTAACAGAAGCAGAGTAAGTGCCAGGATTTTCTTTGCTTTAGCAAAATAATGATCACCTCTCACCTCCCGTAATAATTCCTGTCTGTCATGATCTCATTACCATGAACAGAACCATCTAAACATTTTGGCAAGCAGTAAGGTATTGCATTGGCATTCCTGCTGGCTAAGTGTAACAAGCTTCTTTTATATAAAACATGATTTGTGTTTGTGACATACAAAGCTCCCAGGGATGATGACAGGGAAAGCTTTAAAGCTCTTGCAAAGTGTGACAGCATCCCAACAGGATTAGCTACTTTCTAATTTTCATCCTATTGATCAATTCACACTGTCCAGGGCACCTGTGTTAGAAAGTCTATAAAATTTGTTTTTCCTCTAAATGCAGAAGCCAATTCATTTCTAAGTCCTTAAAGTGGTGTCTAGGACTAAACCTCTTAGCTGTCTAAGAGACTGCTTGAAGTTCACAGAAAATTAGTTTCTTGGTTTTGCCTGTGAAATATGCGCTAATGAGCTCAGATGCTCAGTAAAAGGAAAAAAGTTACTAAAACAAGGGACTTACACGTTCTCCTTTGGGCCCTCGGTCTCCTGGTCTCCCCACAGCACCCTGAAAAATTATTTTTGAAAAAAGACAAGCACATCACTTAAAGGTGTTGTTGTATATTCATCTGTTAGCAGAATTGAAAGCAACTGCTTAGGATTAACAGCTATGGTATCTGTGAGGAATGAAATACAGTAGTACACAAAGGCATGTTTTCTTACCGGAGGACCTGGCAATCCATCTTTTCCATTGATTCCCTACAGAAAAACAAACATCTTTTAAATAACTATGGTTATGTATAAGCATTTTAAAAATATAAGGGGTAAAGCTCACAGTTTAGTTTTGGTATCAGTACATATTCTGAAGCTGCGGAGGCAGCAGTTTGTATGGTTAAAATATTGAAATACAAATAGTTTTAAAGCACGTGAAACAAGAGAGCTTGGGGCCACACTGAACTGCAAGCACATTACATCTGAGCTGAGCGCAGTGCGAAAAAAAAATAAAGATAAAAATCTTCAGCATCAAGATGTGCACCAACTTTAACGAGCACGCAACTTTAAATGACAAGTTATATGGGAATTCTGCAAACAGGTAGAATATGGACCTGTATATGCACTTTTCCAGTCCTGGCTAGTCATTATACAACCATAGAAGAGAATTCTCTTTTTCGAGATATTAGCCCTGATGCCCTATTAGCCCTCTGCTGTTACAGAGATTACACCTTAATAGTGAGTGGCCAGATCCATTCCTTAGTCCTTAGGACCTGTGGCACAGCACAACTTCAGCCTCCTGGGCTAAACATTTTTCCTTCCCAAAAGAGGGTGCTTTTATTCATGCCACCTCCCAGGCCCACAGTATCCCCCAAACTGGAACGTGGCATTGTCTCAGAGAGTGCTAGCTGGCATGGGCCAAAATAACATCAGAGAACACATTAACAATTGCACAACACCCGATAACTCTAAGACAAATGCTCTGGCATTGTTTAATTTACTAGGATATACATGAATCTGCACACGCAGCAAACTCGCTGCTATTTCGCTGAGTGAGAAAGAAGGACTTGCATGAACAAAGACGTCAGGAATATTTCCTTCCCTTTCATACAGCAAAGCGGGGTTTTGCACAGATTAGGCGCCTTGGGCCAATTTGCTGCTGAAGTTACAGAAATTGTTTCTTCTTTCACGGCACAAGGGTAAGGTGGAGACGTGCTGACAAACCGAAATGGTCTGCTTCTCCTGCTTGGCCCCAAAACACCAAACTTAGGGAGAGAGAATGATTTCTGCACTACCCTAGCTGAACCACTTCTGGAATATAAACTACGTTGTTTTAAACCAGCTCAGACAGTGCTGACTACACTGCTGTCACCCTTTTATTAAATAAAGAGGTCAGATTGGACATATCCTACGTGAACAGTAAATGCTGCAGCTGCAGTGTTGCATCACCTGTATACAGAAGAGTTACAAAGTTTATTCAGAGTCATGAAGCACACACTTCTCTATCTAAACTGAAACCGAGAATGCATTTTATCACCTCATCCTTTATAGACAATGTTGAGTGTTTGGGACAATATTCTCCTTCTGAAAAAATATGAGAGGATCCTTTATGTTAACAGGATCCAAAGGACCCTCATAAGACCTTTAAAGGTAACATCTCAGTAACATTAAGTATTAAAACATCACAATACTGGGAATTCTTGACTGGATGGTTAATATTGAACGCTGTAGCTCTAGGTGTTCTTCAGATGTTAGCTAGCCTAACACAAAGCAGGATGTAATCTCATTTCTTTTGTAACTTCCGATAAACTAAGACACATCCTTTTGTAATAATCATATATATTCAGTATAAAATTGCTTACTGGTTTTCCTTGTGGTCCTTCTGGCCCAGGGAAGCCTATATCTCCTATAGGTCCTCTTTCACCCTACAAAAGAACAAAACGCACATATAAATCTGCATGTAAAATTTTGCATTTGGTGTTTGAAATATTTGTGTATTATCATAAGAGTTCAGAACTCAAATTTGTACTTACAGGTTCCCCTGGCATCCCTGGGGACCCAGGAGATCCTGGCTTTCCCTGCAAAAAGAGAACATTACACATTCAAATTACTAGGAAGCAAAACATCAATTTCTCTTAGGTAAAAAATAAGAGAGGATATAAATATTCATGTTTCTGTCCAATGAACCCTTTAAGAGAGAAAAAGAAATATTTTACCAGGTTTTTTAATATTTGTGCCATGTTAATCTGGGTCTTGAGTACAGCATAACTAAAACACTTGGTCATCTTTACACTTTCTGAATACTGAGATAATGTTGTCATGGAACTTTCTTTTACAACACCATGATTTCCTTCTTGAGCACTCATAGTCAGATCAGAGTTTATCACTGTATATGTGAAATCAAGATTTATTTCCTCCCCCCGTCCTCCCCCGGTACTTCTTAGTCCTGATTTTTTTTAAAGTGGGTTTATTACTGATTTAACATCTTTTGCAAATTTTCTTCCTGCTCTTTTTCAGCCACTTGTATCGTTTTTTTTAATGTTCAGCCTGCCAGAATTCACAATCTTTTCTCATCTCATCATTTAGATGGTGATTTTAAATGTCTCTAGGGTTTTTAAATGATGCCTTGCTTTTAACAACCTACCTGGTTCAGCCCCAGACAAGAATCTAGGACACAACATTCCCTGGAAATATCCTTAGACCTGATCCTCAGCAGACTTGCATAAGTGAGGAATCGAACACATCAATGCCAGTGACAACTGCAAGAACAACAGGACTAAGGATTTGTGCTGAGGAATTTGGTGTTGGTGGCAATTCTTGCAGAATCTCAGTCCAAACTTCCCTGATAATGCCACTCAGCAAAAAGCCAAAGCTAAAATGAGATGTTTATATCCCCAAATGGGAAAAAGGGTCCAATATTCAATCTAGGGAATAATGCCAACCAAGGAGGACAAATTCCCTTCCACTAAGATATGTGAATATATTTCAAAAACTCTTCCTAGACTACTAAAAATATTGTCTCTCGTAAGTCTATGAATTTGTTAATTAAAATTGCTCAGCATAAAACGTTGCAGCAAATAATTTATTTCAGTGGATTTTATTAGAATTAAATGTAATCAACAGAACGCAACTCCATCAGTAATGAAGGGAACTCATTAAATAATTCACATCCAGCTACAATAGAGAACAACAAGCATAAGACTTGGAACATATCCAGTGGAAAATACACAGGGAATTAACAATTGTGATCAACCTAACCTGCTACTGCATTACTGATTCACAGCATAAAATACAGTTCAGAGCAACAAACTTTGAAACTCTTACATGAGCCACAAAACTCAAAGAAATACTTCTCTTTTTCCCTTAAATGTGCAATTTTTATCTTGTTTTAGGAGAACTTAACTAAATTAAGCTTTTTAAGCTGATGTTCTCTCTGGGAACTCAACAGTAAATAGACTAAATCAGTCGCTAATGGAAATGGGAGTGCATAGACACAGACTTCTCTTTATTTCATGAAACACATATTTATAATTTAAAACCAGCTCCTGAATGGATTGGTAGCTGTCAAATGTAATAATAAGTGTATTTGCATATAAATAACTCCATATTGCCTCCTGAAATATGGATAAACTTTTTTATTAAATTGTGAATGCAATCTAAAGAAAAGTTGTCTTTATTTCCTTTAGGAACACAAATGGATAATTATAATTTCAATTTATCATTAGTTACATTTACTTTCACCTACAACAAAGTTTCTGGATGACTTTCAGAAACTTCTCTGAATACCACATGTAAATAGCTGACAAAGCATTCCCCTAAGGCAAATGTTTGATCAACTTGATATGCAGATCCTGGTGGGTTGCAATAACTTACGTTCATAATTTTTCTTTGTGATAGAAAGATGCTCAGAAATTTGTGCATGCCCAGGAACACAGAAAATGTCTTTATCTGTATTAAACTGAGGCAAGGAGAAGAATCTCATATGCTTTCTTAACTAAGCACATGTGGGTTCAAATTTCAGCTTTATCATGTATTCACACCATTCGTTTTAATAATAATATGAACCCACAGTGGTATTAAAACTCTAATCTCTTGAGGAAAAATGCATCATTTTCATACCTGCCTATAAAGTATTAGCCAAACACTGGCATTCCACAAACAGGGATCGAGATTACAGCTCAGCACCTTGCTTGACCTGGTTTTTCAGCTTCTAACAAACTGAGTTTTCGTTAATAAATATACGTACCGGTGTCCCTGCTACTCCTGGCGTGCCAGCTGGTCCACGGTCACCCTGAAGAAACAATAAATCTGTACTTAAATGGTAACACTCAAAACAGAAGTTTATTTGTGGATTCTCATTAAAACCTGAGGAAGGATTATTCAGGGAACTGAAAAAGAGGACAAGAGCCAGGCTCTGCTAAATGCTAATATTTAGCTCTGCCACTGGCTCATTTTACAGACTTGAGCAAGAAACTTAAATCCTTTGTTTGGGTTCTCTTGTATAATGTCATAATTTCCGTGCTATCCCTTACACGCTGCTTGAGGCCTTCCTTGAAAAGTCCCTGACTTACCTGTAGTTTTCCAAATAATTATCATTTGTGGTCATGTCATTGACCAAAATTAACATAGGCTAATTCACTATCATATCAACATCCCCATATTTAAGATGTTTTTGCCTTCCTGCTACCCAGTCATCCATTTGCTGCAAGTCAGCATCCTCCATTTGCTTGTGTCCTTTCAGGGCAAAGTTTCTCCCTATAGCATACGGCCACTTTCATCTATGCTTTAAGCTAAGACAATGGCTTTTGTGCTGGGGCTGATGAGTCATGGGCACAAATTCAGTTTTCTTTCTTGAAAGGACTGTAACCCAAAGCAGGTGGATGGAGCTCACCAGTAGTAAAACTTGACAGCAAGATTTGCCCTAACCACTGTTGACATGTATTGGTCTGTAAATACCACATTCTGCTAGTGTCATGTTGGTTGAAAATGTAAGAAAAAAATCAGGATCCTAGTTTCCTTAATCATGTCAGAAAAGCCCCAGCACAGTTAAAGCCATACTAACAGGAGAATATTTTTGAGAGATGTGTTTATGTTACCTGGGGCTGTTTTGCAAAAGCTCCACCAACATAGCTACAGCCACATTCTGCTGTGCAGAAAAGCCTCAGATGATGTTGGGATTTCTGGTTTCTGTTTACACCTAATGCTGATTTGTCTCACTCTCATAATTTTGTTCAGGTAGCACAATGATAATGCTGATAATTAGAAACACTTAACTCCACTATACAAAGTGTAGACAGATGACAAGTTAAACATCTGACCTTGTATCCAGAGAGAGAAGCTTGCTTACAGGCCACAGTTCAACCTCTCTTGCTCTGAAGACTAAGTCACTTAATGCAAGTTCACCCGTCAGTGAGGAACATGATGTGCTCCTCGGGAACACTCGAGTACTGATCATCTGTAGCAGGGCATATTGGCTGGAGCACTGCACTCCGGCCCGGTGGTTATTCTGGACCCAGAACAGGTATCCTGGTGTTTTCCTTATACGCTGGCTATGACAGCGAAGCTAGAAATTCCCATCACTTCCCTGCAGCTTTTTTTTCTTTCAAGGGTTATTCTGGTCCCTTCAGCCATGCGATTCACCACACGGCTGCACAAACCACTGGGTCAGCACAGCTGAGGGAAGGGACGTTTTACCCCAGGACACAAAGTTCTTATGCCAGTTCATGAAATTACCATGAAATTACCGCCAGCATTGTCTGTGGAAGATGGCACACTGCTACACTGATGCGCCTAATAGCTCTAAATTACAAACCAGCATGCTCTATACTGTTGGGACCGGCAGGCAGACTCTGGGATTCTGTTCATTTATTTGCACCAGAAGTGAGGAATTTTGACCAAATTTAGTTAAGGAAAGGATATTTTTACTTTGGGAAAGGGCCAAACACTCACTTAGCTTGTTTATATGATCTGCTCCATTGCTTATTCCCTTTATTTAATTCTTGTCCCCATTTTGTCTCAGTTAGACCTGTAATATTTCCCTGTGTTTGTTCATTTTGAAACCACAGTAATCCTTAATTGCTTGTAAATTGTAGTCTTCCAGAGCAAGAATCACCTCATGTAATTTAAACATCTAGTGGAGACACCTACCTTAGATCTTGTCACTCCTCACTCTCTGCACAAGCAGGAGTAATGCAGAGTGATACAGAAACTTTTCATTTACTTTACTTTTTGATGAAAAATATGTTTAAGTAAACTATTTTTGTATGAAATCATTGAATAACATGTAATTCAAAAAAGCCAAATAAATATTCTATTTTTGAAAAAAATCCCTCTTTTTTTCTTACATTTAGCAGATATGGGCAAAATCAAAGTGTTTCCACTGATGGAAAGTATATTTACAGATTTTCTTCATTTCTCCACTGAATTTTTTGTGCTTTGCCATATTTAGAAATGAATACTAAAATCTTGACATGTTTAGCATTTCATGACAAGCTTTTCTCTAAATTCATATCAGCCTCTACAACTAATAAGTGAGAGGCTGAAACACGCCACCAGGTTAAGGAAAGGATCATTTCCTAGCTCTGGAATGCAGATTTGAACTACAGAAAGGAGCTGGAGAATATGATACTGTTTGGGATGTGCTACAGTGACATCATGCAGGCAGTACAGAGTGCAAGAAAAACAAAACAGAAACAAGAGGCCCTTTTTAGAATAATGAGCAACAGCCCAAGAATTGAGATTTTCATCTTTGCCTTCAGATGGAGCAGACTGCGATACAACAGGAACTGTAGGGAATCAGTCTCCCTTTATTTCTATCCTTTCCTATATTTTTACACTCATCTGAAATAGTCTTTCTTTTTTTTTTTTTGTATGGAAGTCTTGCATGCACTAGGTCTAGATTACTTCAGGTACAAACTTCACATCTGTAGCAATGCCGTAAGTCTTAGAACAAGACAGGCAGACTGTAAGCATAAGATGATGTTCAAAAGAGAATAAGAACTACTGACCATATTTAGGAACATGGTAACTACATTACTTTCTATCAAGTTAAGAAAGTGAAATACTACAGGACCTCCTACCCAAATTTTCCATTTGTGGGAAATGGAATTTTATGTTGAGTAAGTATATGATTTAGACCCACAGTAAAGAAAAAAAGGCAATACAGATAAATACACAAACATTTTTCACATTAACTTTCACAAAAAAATTCAAACATGGTTTCAGAAAACATTAGGTACAGATAGTTGCCACTAAGAAGCCATGACTTCTCTGTTGAAAGTCCTACCTTTTCCCCTGGGAGTCCTTCCAGTCCTGGTAATCCCATTGGTCCTGGGTCTCCCTGATATTTTTATTTTTTTAAGATTAAAAAGGATTGCATAGATTAGAATTTCTGTCCTCTACATGAAAAATGCTGAACAGCAAGCAACAGCAGAATATTTAAGATTACTAAAACAGCTAACCAGTTATTAAGTGAAAAGGTTTTGTTATGCTCTGTTTTAGTGACCTGAGTATCAAGCTTTTCCCAGAGGCCCTGTGTGAATATTTGGATCAATGGTTTTAATTTGGACGAAGAATATAATGCAGCAGACTTCCCTCGAGTGTTCTTGCAAGCCAAGGTCAGTGCTAAACCACCTCGAGGCGGCAGAGCCCCGGGACGCGACCATACGCTGTCAACCAGAGAACCAACCTCCAAGCAATCCTGTGCGACTTCCCAGACACATCATTGTTTCAGAAGAGAGCTCTGCTCCCTAAACAAAGCTTACTCTGCAGCAAGGGATGCACAGACTCGTGTAAGTCTTCAAGTTTTGAAAGAAAACCAGAAAACACTGGTCCACTGGAGAGATCAGTTTAACATGCAGAGTGGGGAGGCCTTTTTAATTCTTTTTCTTTTTTTAAAGAAAATAGACAGATAATTTACCACAGAGATTTAAACTACAACCAACAATGCCAGTATTTCGGCAGTTCTCAGTTAAACCCATCATGCCATTTCAAATGAAAATATCAACTTCTAGTTGTTACTAGCTAGCATGATGTAGCACACTGTCCCTTCTCCCTTATCAGTTTCAAATTTAATTTTGAGAACAGCCTATAACTCTTAAGGTATTTTCTACCTTTATTTCTTATAGGCCTGTACCAAGTATCATTATCTTTCTGTACTTTATCTCCTGCAGCACATATTCTCTATTTTTAAATATACCCAAGGACAGCTCAGCAGAGATGAGTCCACAAGGAGTTAATAATATGTTCAGTCATTCATTATATTATCACTTAGAACTATTTACCAGAAATTGCAAAATTTGCAGGCCTGGCAATTAAAAAGGTTTTTTTCAGATGTACGGATTCTGCAGGAGGTAAGATACTGCTAAAGAACATTAATGGACTCTTCCACCCTTGTGACTAGTTTCATGTGTCAAACTATTTATTTGAGGGAAACTCTATCATGATCCAAAAATACATACATACCACTGTGCCAGGATCTCCTTTTGGACCCTGCAAAGAAATGAAGAAGCAGAAACACATTTTAAAAAAGAAGAGATTTACACAATAGCATGGTATTTTCCTTGTATTACTGCACTATAATTGGTAATGCAGTGCCCTCAGAATTAGTATTAAGTCCAGCCCCTTCAGTTAATTCTGTATAAAATCTTAGTAATATTTGGGTTTTGTTTTGCTATTCCAGAATATATAGAGAGACAGCTCTGTGGTCTTCTGTGAGTCCATGACTACAAACAGCATATAACGTAAGTCCTCACTGACAGCTACAACATTTTTATAAGTTTGCCAAAATGACAATTGTCTTAGAACAGTAGAACTTAGAATCATAGAATGGTTTGGGTTGGAAGGGACCTTAAAGATCATCTAGTTCCAACCCCCCTGCCATGGGCAGGGACACCCTCCACTAGATCAGGTTGCCCAAAGCCCCATCCAACCTGGCCTTGAACACTTCCAGGGAGGGGTGAACCTGTTCCAGGGCCTCACCACTCTAACAGTAAAGAATTTCTTCCTAATAGCTAATTGAAATCTACCCTCCTTCAGCTTAAACCCATTACCTCTAGTCCTGTCACTACACACCCTGATGAACAGTCCCTCACCATCTTTCCTACAGGCCCCCTCAGGTACTGGTAAGCCGCAATTAGATCTCCCCGGAGCCGCCTTTTCTCCAGGCTGAACAACCCCAACTCTCTCAGCCTGTCCTCACAGGAGAGGTGCTGCAGCCCTCTGATCAGCTTCAGGGCCCTCCTCTGGACTCGCTCCAACAGCTCCATGTCTCTCCTGTACTGGGGCCCCCAGAGCTGGACGCAGTACTCCAGGTGGGGTCTCACAAGAGCGGAGTAGAGGGGCAGGATCACCTCCCTTGACCTGCTGGTCACACCTTTTTTGATGCAGCCCAGGACACGGTTGGCTTTCTGGGCTGCAAGCGCACACTGCTGGCTCATGTTGAGCTTCTCATCAATCAATACCCCCAAGTCCTTCTCCTCAGGCCTGATCTCAATCCATTTCCTGCCCAGCCTGTAGCTGTGGATGATGCTAACTTGCCTATGACTTCCCTATGACGCTAACAAGAAGGAGGACCTAAATAAATGCACAGCATCTTTGGCTGCACAGAACCAAAGCAACAGCATCCAGCCTTAAGGTGGTGTGTCTGCACTGTGCAGTGTGGAGAGAAACCAGCCCTATGCTACTCCACAATGTAATTCTTGGCTTTACACATTTTTCTGCACTGCAGCTACACACAGTGAATCAGTAACAAAACTGAGATCAGAATTCATGAGCTTCTCATTTACAGCACCGAATTTAATCCATTACAAAACTATGCCATCACTAACTATAAAGATTATATTATACATTTTAAGGTATTAGGATACTTTCACTAAAGAGTACAATAACAAATTACGTACCATTTTTGCAGCCTTTACTTGCTATTTAGCATAGCCTTAGAATGAAATACTTAGATCAAAATAAACTGCTCTCCAAAACAAGCTAAAGTGCTTGATAAACACCTAAATCACGTACTTTATTATTTACTATATACCAATTGTATCCTTATTTTTTCTATCTTTCACATATAAAGATAAAATTCCATGCCAGTCATCAAAACTGCACGCAACTAACCAATCCCTCAGTTACTACGTTGATTAACTATTAGAAATTATGTTTCTATTAAATACTTACTGGAGGTCCTGGTGGACCTGGATAACTAGCGACACTCACACCTCCCTGTAACAGCAAGTTTACAAGTTTAGTTGGGCCAAAATTAGGTGTTGATTGAAAAAAAAAAGTAACATTAGACAGAAATACCTGGAGCTTATACAAGCTGCTCATTCCATTTCTTTCATTGTAAGGCATACCCTTTAAAACATAAAAACCAAGTAAATGTCACAACTATGAATTACAAAGGCAGAACTTGCCCTGTTCAAGCCGCATAGCTCAGCAAAGCTGTGGTGGTGTTTTCATTCTGGATCAATTTTTCAAAGATTCCAGACATTTCAGTAGGAACATAAGGTACGTACCAATGCAGCTTGGGACTTTACTTGAATTATGAAACCAGAAACCTGTAAATCTCAGTGTACGTTACATTTTGATATTCTTATATAATATTTACAACTGACTGGTCAATTGATATGAGCAAAGAAGGGCATGGGAATTTTATTTTCATGCCCGTTGAAAATTTATGTTAAACTGAAAACGGGAAAGCATCTAACCTTAAGACTGAAGTGCTTTGAGAACATGAAGGCTTGAACTGTAACTCTAAATTAATACTCAAGTTTGACTGCTAAGATACTAAATAATTTAGGAGAAAACTATTTCATTCATAAAACTCGGTTGCTGAATTGCCAACATATGTTTGGCCTGATGACTTACAAAGGTACAAAAAGCTTAGGTTACACAAATTATTCAATTTATGAATGAACTAAATTCTTCTTCAGAAAAGATATCTAGATGTTTTTCTAATTCAAGACAGTTAATATTTAAAGTGGAATCAGTAAATATGGATGTTAGCCATTCTTCCTGTACAAATGTTTACAAAACATATATGTAAAAATTACTAAAATGAAAACCAGTAGGTGCAGACAGCCTTCTCAACTCAAAAAAAAACTGCAATGTGCTTCCAGCACCAAATGAACTTGGTTGAGATTCTAAAAACTTTTAAGATTTTCACTCTCATCACATTCAAAAAAAACCCCAAAAAACCAAACCCAAACAAACACACAGTAAGTTTTATTTTATTATTGTTCTTAAATGTATGTCATGCTAAATCCTGAGGGATGCAGAAACCTTGTGCTGCAACAGAAAGCCACAGATGTAGCCAGTTATTCTGTCATTACTGTGGGACTCACACCCTGGTAGGGTCCTTCTCACTGCTATCCTTATACTATGTTTCTGAGATTCTTAGTATGTCCTTATTCAAAATCAGCTGTTGCTTGAGAGAATTTCCTGGGCTAGGGATATGGATTGAATTTAGAGAACTGTTAAGCAAGGATTGAAAAATGTTGAGTCCTCTAAGCTACATGGAGAGTCATCTCCAGGTTTAGATTTGGGGTGGAAGAGAATTATTTTTTCTAGACTAAGGCTAGAAGCAGGTTACAGTTTTGGCTGGAGCAGGTAGAGATTATTAGGCTATGGTTAGATATTTAAACCAAAACTCTCCCTGGACTAAGGCAGGAGTCAGAGGAGCTCCTTTGTTTATGGTTAGGGGTGCCATTTCCAAGGCTGTAGTTAGGTACTATTCCAGTTAATGTGGAGTGCAGTGAACTCCACAGACTTTCTCTAGGTTGTGTAACTACAGAGTACCCTTATCTCAGGTGCCTAAGCTGTCTAAACTAACCTTGGTATGCAATGTTACTCGAGTAACTCATTTGACCAAGTTTCTAGGTCGGCTTTAGTGACATGAACTTAGCAATGAATCACAAGAAAAAAAAAAGGAATACAGCAACCTTTTGCAAAGAGACATTCCTGCACTATTAATATCTATTAGACACACAGCCAATTCTTTGTATTACATTACATTTTACTTACAGATATATCATTCCTAATATAACATTCAAAATAGGAAACAAAATGTCTCACCGGAGGCCCAGGTGGTCCAGGTTTCCCAGGAGAACCTTCACTACCCTAGTGCAGCAAGAGATTCATATAACTCATTTACCGTAACTGATGTCCAGATCTATTCCATACCCAAGCTATGATGACCACAATGACAACAAACAAGAGACAGAGTCAATATGAGCAGGTAATATCAAGAATAAACTTGCCTGTCCTGCTCATGCTTAAGCTTTAGGCAAACTATTAATTGTTACTTTACACCATTTTTTAAAAAATTTTGTTAGTTACTTGATGCTTTATGTGTAGTAACTTCCATGTGGTAAAATAGTAGTGGTAATCTGGGTTGTGAAACACTTCATAAATATCAGGAGGGAGAGGAAGAAAAAAAGAGTTGTTGATATCAATTTCTAAGCAACTGGCAACAGTCATTTTATGGTTTGTATATTATTTTGCAAAAGACAATCCTCAGTTTGATCATTCACAGGCAAATAAAGAAGAGCTACAGTTTCAGAAGTTCAGCTTATTCAGAAATACATTGAATAAATAAAAGATCTTCTTTATTAAGAGGCATAATGAATATCTGTTTGGTTTGTACTGTAAAAAACTAATATGTGACTACCTGTATCTGTAGTCTGTTCTGCTAACGTGCACTGAATTTCTTATCTTAAAAAAAGGTTTTTGAGTTTTTGCTCCAGCAGAATGGTGGACTCTCTGAACAATCAAAGTTGCAAAGGTTTCAACATCAAATTTCCTAAGGAAGATCTTTTCAAAATCTCATCACTACGATTCAGTTAAAAATACTATATAATTTGGAACAAGTCCAACAGTATTTTTCACTGACTTCATTGGATCTTACTAAACATATGTCAGTGAGACACTTAGGCTGCATATTTAAAATTATGAAGGTGCCAAAAGTCAAGCTAAGTGTTCAACAGCAATAATTAGCCCACCAGAAGTATATACACATGTAATTACAATTACATTAGGATAATTTCCAACTGGTCCTGCTAATTGATAGAAACCATCAGCTTCCAAAGAGTGATTTGGACTACTTCACAGGGAGAAAATATACCATACTTTAGAAAGTATATTATATGATTACTTCTCAAATATGTTCTCCAGATGAAGGAAGAGGGAGGAAATTACTCTGGCTGTATTTCAGTTTACTTGATGGCTCTTCAGCTATCTGACTTTTGCCCTTTCTGATCAATGAGACACTAGTTATAGAGCACTGGCTTCTCATTCCCACCTATGTGTGAACTGTAAACAAGGAACTAGCAAAGACTTGTGTTTTGCATTAAGTTACATAAAAAGGAAATAGGTGGGGTAAATCTTTGCTATTATGGTCTGCAAGGAGACAGCTCTCAATCAGTTTTTATATTGAAATTATTTCAGAGCTCTACAACATAAAGTTTCCTTTTTTATTCATACCAGAGTCAAGGTTTTGTAGAGTATTAATAGGATCACATACATTGATGTGGCAAAGCTATGCCTGGAAAACTCCAGGCTAAAGCTGAAAAAAACTTCAGAAAAGGTAATTCATATTACAAAATGGAGAACTTGCACCAGAAAGTATTTTGCATCAAACTAAGTTTGCGTTTGTTGTATTTCACTGATCTGACATGCTCAAGAAACAAATTTGACCTCTTAGTTATAATGGATAATATCAAGCGCCTGATAAAAGAGCACATGAAACATTGATAAAAAGCAGTGCTGTAAGAGTGTAAATTAAGTATAAAGGAAGCTTATATATTTTTGCAGAGTAACTTATACTCAATAACTTTAAGTACTTGTGAAGCAATTTTAAAGCATGCAATTACTTTTGACTAAAATACTGGTAAAAGAACAAGAAGCAGAGTAAGTAGTAACTAGTCATACATTATTTCACAAAAGTATTTTGACTTTCCTGAATTTTATATAATATGTCATACTTAGAGAACGTTCTCTGCAATTTACACACACCACAAGGACTACGCTTCAAAATATAAGCCCATATGTATGGCATTGTTTGTGGAAAGTGCCTGCATTAAGACACAAAAATTATTTTGAAAACGTACATCAAGTTCTTGTTTGCACTCTTATGTTAGAAAAACCCAAAACTTAGGAGCATAATGGGATTGCAAAACCTTTGCAGATCTTTACCAAGACTAAAAAGAAGGAATACCTTTTCGCCTTTTGACCCTGCTGGACCGGGATGCCCAGGTCTTCCTGTGACTCCCTGCACAACACAGTATCAGTTTATATTAGTTCAGAAGCAATGAAACACAGTATTTTTGCATTGCAGCTTAGTTTTCAAAACTTGCACTTTTTGAAGGTCATGTCAACCTAATTATGCTTCTCCTCCAGGTTTAAATATTTCTCTTCCATTTGATACAACAGCTGTGTCCTTCTGATAAGCCCTTTTAAGGGTAAAACTTGTGTTCGTGGTTGCATTTTCACCTTGGTAGACTAAATGCACTGACCTTAACTGGCACCTCCTAATGCTGCTAAGACTCACGCTTCACTGCTAAAATGCCAATTTACATATTTCACATTAAACTTCTTAAATGTGTTACCATTCTTGAAAGAAGGGAAGCATTAGTACTGTCAGCAACCTAGGAATGAATAATGATCATATTAACTAATGCAATCCCATCCAGTATGTAGAAAATAAAATTTAAAAAAAATTCCAAGAGGAGTTTTCCAAGAAATATCAACATTTTTAATGATATTTTTCACTGACTTTAAATAGTGTCAGCTTATTCTCATACTTTTTTTATTATGAAACCAAGTGATTACTTGGTTTCAGCACTAAATGTTTTCAGAATGCCTAGCTGGAATTATTTTTAGATTTTTATTACTGACATTATTAGAGTAACTTGGGTACGAATATATAATTAACTGCAAGTTTGCACATCTTAAGTCATGTAACCTCATAGAGTCTCTAGTAATGCCAAAACTCCAAACCCATATAAATTACATAAACTTTGAGCCCAGACAATGACAGTATTTTCAGTAACATCAACTCACAACATAGTTTCTTTTATTAGAGCCAGTTCGGGTAAGATTTTATTATTACCCTCCTAAAAGCCAAAAGAAGGGACAAGAAACTAAGAAGATAAAGTTTTACTAGATACTTATAGCAACCTCTGCAGAGATAGATTAGATCACAGGTGATACCACACACTTACAGATGGTCCACTGGGTCCTGGTATACCAGGCAGTCCAGGAGCACCTTGAAGGCCCTGGAAATTAAAAGAGCACATGTCTATTTTCTCTCCCACTTATACCTCAAAACCTACTTATATATAGCATGTCCAGCAGTATTAGAACTATATTAAAGTGCATTTTAATCTAAAAGGTTGGTACTATTTTTAGGAATGAAAAAAACCTTCCACCATGCAGGTAAGAAATTATCATTGAACAAGGTTAGAGGCAACTTGACTGATAAACAATGCTCGTCCTTCAAACTTTCAAATTGTTATCTTTTTGGTTTTAGTTGTGCAGATAAGAACAGGACGTTTGGCTTTTCCTTACAGGTTAATTTTCTTTTTTCTATCACAAAAAAAAAAGGGGTTTTTGCCAGTGAGAAGACATCTACTCAGACTTCTCAATGATACTTGATGCTATCTAAAGGCAATGATGTTTTCTGCCTGATTTACAGATTTTGCTTTTTTTGATAACAGAACATGATATTTTTCACAGTATTTAATGACCTACTTTCCTGCTCTTATTCTATTCGATTGCCTGGAAATCGATGGATTCTTGGCATCCACTTACTAAACACAGAGGTGTGCAACTTAATACAGTGGATACAGGCAGAATTTACGATAAGCCTGCACATCGCTGGAGTCTTTCCTCTGCCACACCAGGCTTAGTCAGCTGTAATTTTAGATGTATAAAAGCCATGTACGTATATCTAAGCTAATTACACTCACTTCCCTTTATAATCCACAAAGGGAAAAACGTCCCTCCCAGCAGTGATTCATTTTATCTGCACAGGGTGCCTATCCTCTGACAAGAGGAGTCACCTCAGAAAAGGAGTATTTCTCATGTCAGATGCAGTGTTTAAGGAGGCATTGCTAAGGGGGTAGCCTAGAAATCCAAAGAGGTCAGGAGCCCTGAAATAGGGGCTCCGAGGGAGACTCTGCAGGAAAAAACTTCAGACAGGAATAAATGAGGGAAGATGGGGAAAGATATTGATTTCCTTCTCTTGCCCCTGCACACAGAGGACATTGATCCACCTCTGCAGCTTTTCAGAGTGGCAATCCAACTGCTAATGTGTTCTCTGCTCATTTTAAATTACTTTACTCTGACAGTACAGTCACCCAGAAAATGAATACGAAGCCAATGGAACATTTTCTGTAATTCTTCTTACTGATGTTAGAAAAACCCTTCCCTGAAAAAAGGAATGTTTTAAAAAGGAAGAGAACTAAGCTTCAACAAAGATTAAAGGCTAACTGAAAGCACATGGAAGTTAATGAGAGTACTTCAAAGACCTTCAGGTGGGCTTCTCAAGCTCTCTTCCCATTCCCATGCTAACCAAATCATAAAAATGAAAAGAAATGCGTTCTTTTAAAGTTTGTAAATTTGCAAAAAAAAAAGTTACTTTTAAACTTTGTAAACTCTTTCATACGTGTTTCTGAAAATAAATTCACTTGTAGCCTCATAATGTTGTAATCAAAAGCTGCTGCTAAACACTGAAAATATCAAAGCTAAGGCAGCTAATCAGCCATCCAGCAGTGAAGAAGCCTGTGAACTTACTGACACAGCACAACACCCTACCGAATCAACAGAAAAAAAATTTAGAATGAATTTACTCTGGAGTCTTGTAAAAAACCCAACTAACTGCCAGTTATAATCGTGCCTTTCCCTTACTACCTTCTTAATTGCCTCTAATATCTCACTTGATTCTCAGCAGTTAAATAGTATCTGAATTGTTGAAACTGTTTTGCTAATGCCTCAGACTGCTAGGGTTGAATTGTAGAGGTACCCTGTAGGGCACACGAAGGATGTGTTACTTTCCCACTTACTTTTTAAGTAAGATTCTGCTTGGGCTTTGCTTATGGATGCCCCACCATTTTAAGTTATATGTTCTAAATACAATCTCGAGAAGCACCTGCTTTTAAGAAGCAAAGACATAATGAGCTCTATAGATCATGTAAAAACAAGAGGAAAAATAAACATGATACTTTAGTCTGACAATCTGCTTAATTCTGGGGCAAAGCATTAGCAAGACTACATATCTAATACTGTTGTGTCTTTTTTTTTCCCCCTCATATAACTGTTTACTTTTGGAAGGCAAGGATCCTGATGAACAGAGATTTTTTTAAAAAATTATTCTCATTCTACTACTGTCTGAAAATTCTTACTGTATTATGGCCTTAGCACCAAAAAAATGTAAAATGCTCATAAAGAATTACAAACCCCTCAATCAATAAGCTCTAAAATCCTTTTATATTTTCCAGGTGCTTTCTCTTGTAGCCAGCACTCCCAAACTCCGAGACAGTAATATGTGCCAGTTAAGTATTTTGGAATTTTGGAGTGTTCACCAAATATTTTGTAAGACTGCTTATTTTAACTCCTTCAGTTGGCTAAGGTCACTAGGAAATTAATTTATTTACTCAGATTAATTTGCTTAAAAGCTTATGCTTTGGTTGATTTTTTTTTTTTTTTTTTTTTTGACAGAGATTGCTCTTGACCTGTTAACTGCAAATATTTTAATTTAAAATGAAAGCTATAGCAGCTATTTTGGATTCGGCACCAGAAGTCACATGGCTTTTTTTCCTTCTCCATAATGACATAAAAATAACTCTAAGAATAGAGTATATGATGCAAAATACTGTAAATATTTTAAATTCAGTCTCTTAAAACATTTTCCAGTTTCCACTTAATAGTAATTGTTGCTATGACCATTCCCATCAGAGTATTTGCCTAATGGAATGTTTTTGAAAGTGAATTGTAATGGGGAGCTAACACAATGAAGGCAAATATATTATAAAACATGAAGCATTTTCTGAAAATGTTTGGCATTTGCCTATTTATTGCTGTATCCTATACTCTTAAAAAAATAGCATTTAAATGTATATGAGGCTTTAAAATACACAAATAAGTAAAAAACCTCAGACAAAAATTAAATAGATGTTATTTAATTGAATAATAGCATTTAATCTTGTTGAAAATTCAGAATCGAGGGCAATTTATAGCAATACATTACTATCTCAGCAGTTTTAAAGAACCGAATAACATTCTGTGCGCTTCATTCTTGGGTCTAGATCTTTATTCAGAATCAGATAAGAATGTAGCTGCTATAGAAATGAAGTAATTTTACCTCATCGCCCTTTTCTCCAGCAAGCCCAGGAAATCCACGTTCACCTTTGCTTCCCTATGAAAACGTAACATTCAAACAAATACTTGCTATTAGAGAACAATGAATTTTTTGCTCTGTAGGGCATTTTATGACCCACATTTAATATATTGCATGAAGCGCTTACAGCAATAGTGCCTAAAACAGGAAAAAAAGGCTCAATACTACCTGAAAGCTTTAAAATATGCCTCCCATCGAGGTGAAAGGAAATTCGTGTTTTTTACCTAGTAGGCAAACTAGCCAAAAGGCCTGATGGAAACATCTTATGAATAGCAATGAGCTTAAATGCTTGCCCAAATGGAGAAAGGACACTTTCATGGAATTAGGCTCAGCTACAGGAGATACTTATATGCCAAACCATGTGGCATTTGATCCGATTACAGTGAAGCAGAATTTTGATTGACGTCAGTGAAACTCCAAGTCCCAGTGAAACGGCTGCGCTACTCCCCTGGGAACACGGTGCAAGGGTACAGGGTGGTCCCGCTGTCGCAGACTTGACGAAGACACGGGAAGTTTCCTTCTTCGCTGGGGGACTCTTGCGTGACTGACTCACCTCAAATAAGCCTATAGACAGCAATGCACTACTGGATGGTCAAATCTGAGCTAGCTTGGATGGATGCAAGGCCCAGAAGGGATATCCTGGCTTGAGACTCAACTTAGGCTATTTCGCTCACTTTCCTGAGAGGAAAGGCAAATTGACACAGGAAGAGGGCTGAACTGTAAGAATTATTTGAAGCTTTAGGCTGCTCAGATGCTACAGGAAAAGCGATTAGACAAAAAAGTCAGGACTGACAGACATAAGCATCTGAACTTTTATTAAGCAATGAAGCAATGTAAAGTACTCTTCAAAACTTACCTTTGGCCCTTCTCTACCAGGGATGCCTGGAGGACCTCTTGTGCCAGGATCACCCTGAGGAACAGACAAAAAGCAAAGTGACAAATAACCATTTTTGTGGGACGGGCAGAAGGTCTGATCCATGCAGACCACTTCCTTCCTGCCATCGTGACCATCGCTTCATTTTACCCCAAAGCCTTCTCTTCGGTCCCTTCTTTCTTCTACACAAAATACTTGTTCAGATATTCTCCCTTGTTTCCCTCCCCATCTCTCTCATGCTCTGCTCAAACCATGCTAACAAATTTTTAGCTTCATTTTGAGAGAACTAATAAATGCCTTCATTTTCGGTAGTCCCAGACACATCTGTGTTTAGGTTTGAGCAGACCGTCTTCCTTTTAAGCATTAGGTAGAGACGGAGGCTACTTTTTACTCTCACCAGCTTCAAATCTACAGTTATTTTCAAGTAAAGTATTCCTGCTTTGTTGAGAGAAGCATTTTCCAGCTAAATTACAATCATATAGAAGTGATAACCACAAAATAGACAGAAATAAAGAACAAAGCATAAAGAATCAGTAAGAGAGAGAATTGACAAAGAGGCAGAAGAGCATTTAGAGGAGAAAGAAAATACAAGTACAAACAGAAAGAATCAGGGAAAAGCCCAGAGACAGACCTAAAAGAAATCAAATTTGGGAATGGGGAAGTCAAGAAACCCTAAGTACATGTATTAATAAAGGGCAGTAGAATAGGATAATCTCCCTCCTCAGAAATGAGGTGTGCTTTCCATATAGAAATCCTCCTGAGTGCACTTTTCATTTTGGAATATGGAGATCACTTCAAATTGTATTATTTTTCAAAATAATGCCTTAGAACTTCTAGATTATTTTCCTCATTTGGTATATTACCAGTATCAATGCTACAACGTGAAGCGGAGAATGGGGTGTACTTGTAGCGATTCATAACATGGACTGGATGTACTGAATGGGCACTTGCTGGCTACTACCTCACGTACCATTCAAATGCTATTTTGCAAAATTTCTATAAAATACATTTCTTGTGTATTTAAAAAAAAACAACCCCCAAATCAACAAAAATCTCAAAATTATTTTAGGCTAGCCAAGCAGGTGAGAATTGAACCTCGAGAAACTTTGAAGTGCATATTTTGGTTTAAAAAGCATGCTTATAATAAACAAAGATATTTATTCTCTGAAAACTTTTACCTTCAGTATAGCACCCATGTCTCCCACAAGTGGCAGTGCAATCTGAAATTAAAAAAGGCAACTGCAGTTAATGTTTTACACAACACTACCAATGATTCTGATGGGTTCTCACTGCTTCTAAAGTTTATATTGTTACACACATAGCTGATCACATATATATTGGTTGGAGCTACTTTTTATGAACACTCAAAAGAAAAATCAGGGTTTCACATATAGTTTTTAAGTGTTTAATATCACTGTCTATCCAACCTAACAATGTAATTCTTCACTACAATTTCAGTGAAGTTGCTTAAACCATGACAACAGCATAACTGTAGAAAAAAAAAAACAACAGTTGTTTTTGTAGCATACCAGCAACAACTTATTGCTGCTGGAAATTCTTACAGACTGTTCTCACCTGATAATCTTCAATTGTTTTCCTTCTGCTTTCTCCTAGGCTCTGACTCTACTGTGAACTATAGCATGAATCGTGGAGATGCCAAAGCTAACTTCAATAAACTAGCTCAGATACTGGAAACAATCCAGCCACAGCAACACGAGCTACATATATAGTATTTTGTCCTGCCTTTAAACATCAAGAATTAGTGCAAAACTCTGTGGTGCCACAGCTAAATAGCTACCAATACTAAAGCTAACCCATTTAAAGCTCAATCAATAGGTTTATGCTATACTGCAATATATCTCAGCTTTCCAAGTGCTGCCATTAAACTTATATTTAAAGACTCTCTGTAAAAACTGATTGAACTGGTTATCATCAGCTTCACTCACAGATTCTTCAATTACCAATGCTCATTTCTTCCTTTTGCAATTGCTAAGGCAAGAATAGCCCTAGGCATACTATAAATTAGACACATTCAAAATTTGTTACTGTTTTTGTTCAGTGTTTTTGTTCATTTCCATCTTTAAGAAGAAAAATAAGATGTAAGCACTTTTGTAGCATATTAGAAAAACTGTTGGTTGGTAGCAATGGATGTCAAATACCAGCTCAAGAGAAGCACTGCCGAATGTACTTAACGGTAAGTGCAATCAGGAGTACACCATTTACAATGCAGCCTCATCACCTTCGAAAGCATGCTGAGTTTTCTAGGGTGAGACATAGCCATCTAACACGACATAACTATCTAAGGTATGAAATCCATGCTCTGCACAAAGGTTAAACTGTACATAGACAGTGTCACCTGCCCTTAAATACCTGCAATGAGCCTTAAAAACAACCACCACATCCCTGCATGGCCTGACTTTTTATCCTTCTCCTTGTGACAACATTTTACAGATAGGCAGG